TATATAATCAATGTATATTTTTTTATATATTTAACTAGCGAATATAATTATTTTTAGCCGACCATTCAAATATATAGGAACGGGTCAGGGTCGTTGGGTATTTTAAAAGATACATGTGGGTTTTATTTAATACAAATAATACACGTGGCGGGTTAAGGAAATACCACATGGCGAAGTTAAAGTCAAAAAATTGACCACGTTAGTTTTGTTAGATATAGGGGTAAGTTTGAGCCCAAAAACAAACGTTACGGGCATTTGCGGACCAAAAGGTTAACGGAGGGTATTTTTGAGCCATGTTCAATACGTTAGGGGTATTGTTGGCCCTTTTCCGAAAAAAATATTTATTGAACAAGCCAAAGTTTCTCCTCTTTCTTTTTAGTGTTATATATTTTGGATAAGTCATGTGAAAACCAAAGATTCAAGATGGTAAGCAAAATAAGAAATTTACCTAAATTTTAAGCTAGAAAAATTACAAAATAGTTATTATTTAGCTCCTTATACAAAAAAAATAGATTGAAGGTAGGGGTAAGGTCTGCGTACATATTACCCTCCCCAGACCCCACTTGTGGGATTATACTGGGTCTGTTGTTGTTGTTGTATACAAAAAGAAATAGATGTTCTTCAGTTCCTTATAAAAAAGAACATAGCTGTTATTTAGCATTTGCTCAAAAAATGACCAGCCATTCCAAACTCTGCACCATAGTAATGTACAGTTGCAAATTGGTTCATTCAACTTTAGTAGGAGTATTTGATTGATTTTCTAAACCTAGCTTAAGAGGCAATCTGGATCAGATTCCATCTTACTTTGAGTCATTTCTAGATTAGAACTAATCGAAGGAGATGAGAATAAGGCTGTTCTGATTTTCAATTTGCATCTTTATATTTATAGTCCTACCTAAGTCATAAATTAGTACTATTCTCAGCTTCAGCATTTGCTAGACAAGATAAGAAATTAGAGCCACATAATAATTACTAAAGCCTGGACTGACTAACATTACAAGTCACTTCACCCCCCGCCCCAAAGAGAAAAAGGAAATAGTCCAAGGTCCATCAAATGACAATAAGGAGTATATATCCCTGAGTAACCTTTAAACATGTCAAAGACACCATGTTGTTTTCAAAATAAATGGTTATTATGACGAAAAGTTATAGGCTCAAACTGAAATTCAATGAGTTAAACTCTAAAGATGGAAAAAGGATGCATTCAGTTGTGCTACTTCCCAAATTTTCTTAGCTCATAAATTGTTCGCTTCAAGCGTTATTTTCTAAGCAAGGTCTTCATTTTCTGTGTATCAATGGGAACGTATGTTATATAAAGAATCTCAACATGAGGCAACATGATTTGACAATAAACTAAAGCTCAAGACAGACCAAAAATTTTCAACTCAAACATGAGTTCAATATGTAATTAAACCCTTAAACTGGAGATTTTTCACAAAGAGAATATTTAAAGAAAGACATTTGAAGATGAAGCTTAATTTAATACTTCGTTTCATCATTTCCAGATAAATGAAAACTCCACAAAAACACTCAGGGGACAATGACTAACACAAGGAAGTTGTTACCTTTTTGCCTATGAGTTGACCTCCTGCTATGTGCGAGAAATATATGTTATAGAAGTGGCTGAGAAATAAAGGAGGAGTCTTTTCTGCCAGTTCCTCCAGATAACTGGCGTAACTGACTCCAGGATTGCTCGGTTCTGGAATCTCATAGCCCTGTTGGCTAAACCAATCTAGGTCTTTCGATATACATTCCGCTCGCTCCAATCCAGTCCTTCTGAAGTAGGCATCTAGGTTAAACAGCAAATGGCATAACATCATTTGAAATCCAACAAGCAATATGTCCTAAAAGTCTTTACCGTGTTCCTTTTTTTTTTAACCACAAATAAATTAAATGTCACAAGGGAAAATTAGTAACTGAGTTGGTTGGCCATTTGAAATTTCACCTTGTTGGTGAAGGTTCGATTCCCCACCTTCTAATACCCTCCCCTGTTTCCCCTTCCCCTATATTCCCAATCAAAAAACAAAAAAAAACAGTCACTAACATATTAGTAACTCAGTTGGTTGGCTATTTGAAATTTCACCTTGTTGGTGAAGGTTCGATTCCCCACCTTCTAGTACCCTCCCCCGTTCCCCTTCCCCTACCCCCAATTAAAAAACAAAAAAAAACACTCACTAACATATTACACTGTTTGTTTTTTCCTCTATCATGAAAATGAGAACCAAAGAGAACCAACAATTCTTAACAAGTTTTTACATAGTGCAAAGAATCTAAAAACAATACAGCACAAACTAAGCATTTAGTTAAACTTTCTTGGTCTTATTTTAGGGCAGGGGAGGGAATAAATTGAAAGTTCAAGACTTTTGTCATCAGCACACAGGTTGAAACTTGGTGGATAACGGAACAGGCCCGCCTCTATCCTTCTCCACTTTAAATACCAGGCTTTTGTAACATGTGATGTGTGCCTAACCCACACCCACACATAACGTGACGCGCCCTTACCACTAGAGCAAAAAACTGGGGCTGAAAGTTGAAGACTTTTTGATGAATGCAACATAACGAAGAAAGAAATCATAGCACTTACAAGAAACATCACTGGAGTCATCAACAATGCGCTCAATAGTAGTAAAAACAAGCTTGCTATCAACAAGATACTTGAGAAAACCTTCTATACTTGGCTGCCAAGTCTCCTCACTACCCCCATCGCCACCTATATTATTATTATTATCCTCTTCTGAAGAAGCTGATTCATACCCATTATCACTCTCTGATGAACTGTTTTTTCCTTTGGAATTACGAAGTTTCATAGCAACAAACCTCATCTCTTCAGTAATACCCTTTTTCTCACCTGGGTATTGCTTTCTGTACCTTCTCCTCTTCCTCTTCACTGGTGGCTTCTTGGCTAATGATGTAACCCCATCATCTCCTTCTTCGTCTTCTTCTTCTTCAGTTTCAGTTTCAGATTCTAGTTCTGATTCTGCGAGTGTAAATGATGAGGTTGTGTTGAAGTTTGAACATTGAAGAATAATGGAAGCTCGGTTCGTCCACTTTGGGTTTGTGGAGATTGACGGTGAAGAAGAATATTTAGTAAAAAGTTGGGGATTTGGGATTTTAAGGAGCAGCAAGGAAAGGGAAGATTTTGGTATTGGGGTTGAAGGACATGAGCAGTAGCATGTCAATGTTGCCATTTGTGTCTCTCTCAAGGGTTTTGGTCTCTTGCTCACTTTCCTCTGTTTAAATAAAGGAGCCTAGGTTTGTTAAATACCAAATTACGGTACCGAAATCAAAAATTTTATTATTTGTTATTAGATATTTTGTTATTCTGTATGTTATTTGGTTTAATTTTAAAAAATATTAATATTAGGTAAGGTATTTGATATTTTAAAATAAAATACCAAAATACCGATATCATACCAAAATATATATTATATTGCACAATACATATATTATTAATTATAACATAAATATAAAAAAAATCTAAAATTTTACTTTCCTTTATTTTCTAAATTCATCAATTAACTATAAGAAAGTAACAATACATTTCTAATGATTAAATTTATCCTTTATGTACAGTTTTTTCTCTCGGGATTAATATTTGCTTTTGGATAAATGTTTTGTCAACAAAGGTTTTTAGTTTTGTACTTTTGAGTACTTTAATTAAGAATATTACAGTCTATGACTCTACGTACTAGTTATTATTCAAATCGAATAAATTGAATCGAATAAACCGAAATCGAAAGGAAAAAAATCGAATCATACCGAATTTAATTAGGTACGATATTGGTATAGAATTTTAAGAAACCGAATACTGAAAAAACCGAACCAAAATATTTAAATATCGTACCGTACCGACCGACGATTAAAGTAGCCACAGAACAATTCTTGTTAATTCGATAAGTTGAATGTGATATGGTCACATTTGTAAAATGTGATTTATAAGTGGCATTGGCGAACGCGTTTTCCAAATCTGCTAGACTAATAAGTAACATTTACTAATACGATTTATAAGTCATATTCATGAAACGGCGTTTTCCAAATCTGTTAGACTAATGAGATTTACAAGTCACAAATCTACTAATGCGATTTATAAGTCAGCATTTCTAATACTGTCACTTCTATTTCACTTGTGTTTGCTCAGTTTTTCCCCCTTCTTGATTCTCAGTTTGGACTTATTAGTCTACTTTCTTTTTAGATTTTACTCTATTTATAGTTCTCCAATAAAAAGGACTTGCTCAAAAGAGAAAAAGAGATTCCTCCGATACAAAGTAATTTTTTTAATGTAGCATGCTACATATTTACTAAAGATTTAAGAAGATTCAACTGATAAAGCACTATTAAATAAACATATGTATCAACGAATTTCTCTGGGGCAACGGACTTGATTTGGTTGAGATTTGACGCAATAAATAGTTTTGAATTTGAAATTTAAGTTATTAAAAAAAAAAGTGAAAATACCGTTTTATAAAAGAAATTGATAATCATTGATTATATAAATATTACTACCATCAGATTCAGGGGAGTTAAGACACACTTGTCGACTTTTTATCTAGAAGAGTAAGAATGTGGAAGAATTTATTAGCAACCATAATCGCATTCGATAAATGGAACTTCTAAATCTCTTTAAAAAGGTACAATTTATAAAATGCAATCAACAAACACACTTATAGATTGCTTTCAGCATAAACGAATTATGGCATGCATCATTATCGACTTCAGTCTATTCTGTCCGTTATGCTTTATCATTAAATCGCCTTCTAAAAGTGCGTTCAGCATAATTCTGGTAATTGTTGAGCCAAAATCTGCACATTTTGGAAAAAAGCAAAAACAAAGAAATAACATTGAAGATGAAAAATGGAGAATAAAATATCAAAAACAAAAGAGAAATAATCTTTACAGTTTATTAAACAAGTACCCGTAAAGAGGGGGGGGGAACAAACAGTCAAACACCTTTAAAAAAAAGGATAGTAATCTTTTAGCTTTTGGTAAATGTATATACAACAGTGGATGATACAACATTTACAGAACAAAGTGTTTACAACATTCTCTCAAGAATGATCAATCTGTTAGCAAAGAAATCGATGGTTAGCATTCTGTAGTTTACTCTCCCTAATGTACAGCCTAGTAGAAACTGTCGCTGTACAAGTAATCTGTAAACTCTTAACCTATGAATTTGGTACTTCCATATGAGCTCTACCTAACTAATCTAAGCGCCAATTACTTCCAGTCCCTACTCGAGTATATGGACTACTTACACTATTTGCATGTGAAGAATGGAGGAAAAAGGAATGTCAAGACTCCATTGTGCTTGGTTCTTGTTTATGTACAGCTATCTTCATCTACTAAGAGCTTTCAATTTATGCAAGAATTCTAGTGTCTCTTTATAAGAAGGATCGCTGCGGCTCAAAGGCTTGCAGGAATTAATATGATCAGTTGACTCCAAAACCTGCACCAAAATGTGGGCAAAGATGAAAAACTCCACAGGTAGAGATAAAGTTCAATGATAGTTAATCTGAACATCACATTGTCAACATAACTCCATAAGTCAAGATGAATAAAATTGTGCGATAGCTTGGAGGATACATGCTTTCAAACGACTGGCTCATTAGAACAATCCTGCCCTCCATTTTCACTATTAAGGACAAGCATCCGACGGTGCCACAGAGATCAGGATCAACTTCCCAATCTCCAAATTTCAGGTTTACTTTTTTGATCAAGCACGATCCAAGTTTTATGTTTGCTACCTACAGTAAAAACCATTTCGAAAAGCTCTACTCCCTTTCACCTACTAAAATTTTAGTTACTTCCAGAATAACATAAAGTGACAACCACTTCAATATTATGTGTGTAAACTTATCTCTAAGAAAGATGAGACAGAAAGTTCCATGTTTCCTTTAACATATTTAGTTCTATATCAAACTGCCAAAAACATCGTTAGGCCCCAATAATTGAGAGAAGAATGCTCTAACTAATATGATCTGCATTATAAAAAAAAATGTCTACAAAAGAAGAAGAAAAAGAACAGCCCACTGATATGATATGATATGATATGATATGCTCAACCACAAAGTGCAAGCAATCGAAATGATAACTGCAAACTATTGCAACAAATATGGGTGCCTGGTAATCATCAATTTGAGCAACTTACAACTAATTCTCCAAATCCGGGATATGCCGACTCTAATGGTACAATTTCCATTCGAAAAGCCCAGCCTCCATAGCCTTCAACAATTGGAGTTACCTTGGTCTACGAAAGGATCATCAGTCAATTTTTAGAACGGCAACCACAGAAGTGAATTTTTTCAATGGGAACTCAAGGGTGGAAAAACATTACCTCACAGAAACTGAGGACCTCAAGCATCCCTTTTTTGTGAAGCTGCCGCATAAAATCATTTAGCTCAACCAATCTTGGAGATCCACTTCTCAGCTCCCCAATCTAGCAATGGCAGGAAGTAGTATTTATCAAATTTCACACCCAAGTGCACCCGCAANATCCAAGTTCACCCGCAACAAAAATCTCAAATCTCATGTGCATATTTCTAAATAAGAAACTGAAGTACTCTTGGGAAAAAACATAAGTAGAAAAGAGAAATAAGATAACAAGGTAAATAAAGGGAGCAGGAAATTTTTACTAACAGAGGGTGCAGGGCGGAAAACAAGACCCATTCTCCAAGGCATGTCTGCAAGTTTGCTGCCAAAATGAGGACAGCTGTAGAATACCTGACCCAATCATTTTTAAGAAAACTAATGAATAACCGAATTTAAAAAGTATAAAAATAGGTCAAATGTCTTGTAATTCATCATCTGATAGGAAGCAGCACACATACGACTCCAATTGTATTCTTGACAAGGTCATCCTTCTTTTCTGCTTTTGCTTGATACAACATCTGCTTGACAACCAGGCCGCCCATGCTGCCAAATTGCAACCAAAAGTGTGGTTTCGTGTCAGTAAGCATGTGTAGCTATGGGGTATCAGCTTGAATAGATGCTTAAAATAAATTTAAGAACTGATGCAAAAGGGTTCTGGTGCCATTACTAACAGGAAGATAAAATAGTTATGACACCATTACTATGATAATAGTTAACAATGTGTCATATGAGCTAGAGCGAAAATGTGCAGCGCCAAACAAAATAATTTTTGCAATCCTAGGTGCAGGATACAAAAAAGGTTTCTTGAAAAGAGCAACAGAGGATGCTACATAACATGAACTAAGACTTCCCCCAATAGGAAGTGGTTAATTTTAGAACCGCCCAAGAATGGAAGGTATAACGAAGGGAGCTCCAATTAGTGGACCAGATAATCACAAGCTCCAAGTAATCTAACAGCAGAGAATATGCGGTTTGATTAGGACCAACCTATGGGAAATGAATACAACTGGTCGATCGCCAATGCCTGCAGCAACAAGCTTCTCCAACAGCATGGCACTTACTTCCTGAGGGTTTAAAACAATGAAATGAATAATACATCTGATGCCACTGAATTGCATGCACACCAAGTTATTTTTATAAGGAAATGCACAACAGATTAAAGGACCAAGAGCAACAAAACATGCCCGGGTTCTGCACAATAGAACTCTTCAAGATGAAGAAACCTGTTCTAACTATTAACAGCTGTAATCATCCCATTAGTTAGGATCTTAGTTTTGGAGAAGTTTAGTTTTGAGAGGCTTAGCCTAATTTTAAAGTTTCTAAGCGCTGGGATTGATCTCATCTTCATCTTCTTGAACTTCAACTTGAATTTTTAGGGTAAGATTTTTTGTATGAGTTCATCTCTTCTCCATCATGTTTCTTTTCTTTCTCTTGATTGCTATTACATGTCTTCCTTTGTGTTGAGCCTAATTGGATTATTAATTAGTGGGTTCTTGCATATTTATTTGAAATTGACAAATAATATTCTTTATCTAATTCCATTTCAAATAGTATATATATTCTTTATCTAATTCTTTCTTTGATTCTACTACTATTGTCTTTGAGTTGAATGATTGTTAGTGATAACAAGGATGCAAGTTACATTAAATACTTGAGTTTGTGTTATTATAATTCATATAATTCTACCCTATCCTGTATTCTTTCTCATTATTCTTCGGCAAATTTGTTTGCTTCCAATATTGCAATGCTATCACCATTCCTTTGCTCCCTTTTTTGGATAATGGTTGACATATTCTTATAATGGTGGCATCCACGCCATCTTGCATACACCTCGACTAATCCACCGTGTA